ATTGGAACTCATTGGACAAATTAGGGGAGGGGGAACAAGAATGAATTCAACCCAGAACATTGCAGTCATCTTCATGAGAATCAGCAAGATGTTAATTTACCAGAGGGTGAAGGATGCCCAAGGCAGGGCACCAACTAGGCACTCTGAAGCACTAACCAAAGTAAAAGACTACAATAACTGGTGATTTGTTGATACTTTATAACCTATTCTTGCTTGGGGGGAGAGATGCTAGATACTGTAATGTTTATCAGACTCTTGATATGAAATTCAAAGAAAATCTTGCCTTTCTTTTCAAAATAATATCTTGATTTGTTGTCATTTTAATTTATTGTAGGTTGACTTTTGTAATGAGAATCTGATATTTCTGTATTCTATGACTGATTAAATTATTTTTTCCATGTTCATTTATTACGATATATTGGTTTCTGCTATACCATCCTGCTTCCTTTTCCTAGATGTCTAGTTAGGTTTAAAGCAGTTTTCATGCCTTACTATTAATATAGAGAATATATTAATACTTATGGATTTGTAATACATATGAACATGAAATGTGAGAAGCTGGCCACTTAAATCAGAAGGACTTCTAATAAAGAACAGTGGGTTAAAACCTAAAAAATATATTTAAGCTGAGAAAACTTAATGAAAGTCATTTTCCAATTAAAAGCATTTGGGGAAAAAGTCCTTTTGCCTTTCCCTTTTTCTAGCACTAGTCCTGATTCTGATATGAATGAAAACACTTCTTACACTGCATTTTTTAACAAGTGCCAAGCATAATGCCTAGCACATAGTAAATGCTTAATAAACACTTTTTGATTCAACTAGTTTAGGGATTCTTAACCTGGAGTCTATGGAACCTAAAGGATTATGTGTTTAGTTTTTATGGGATACTTGAATTAGTAAATGTTTGTTTCCTTCCTTAATTTAAATATATACTTTTACTCTTGATGCATCATTGTAAGATTCCAAACTCAGTGGGAAATTGTCATAAAATACTGGACTGTTGTAGCCCATATAAGTATGTTAGATTTACTTAGCAAGTAAATAAATAAATAAGTAAATAAATAAACTGAGTAATGTTCATATACATTCTGCACTTTTTCATTAAGATAGTTCAAAAATAGGGTGATATGAAGCAAAATGCAGTGGATTAGAGGCAATAAACTTAATCTCCAAATCCAACTTTGACTAATTTTCCATATGACTTTGGGTAAGTCATTTTACTACTCTAGGTTGTCTATTAAAGCTGGAATAAGTGATCTCTAAATGTTTCATCCAATTCTACAATTTTACAAATCTATTAACATGACAAAGACAGCAGGGTCCTAAATATAAATATTTTCTGTATCTAGTGAGCATTTAAGATGCCCACTTCAGCCCATTTGCAGTTCACATGCTGATACAGCATTGCTACTGCCCTCCCATTCTCTGCTCTCCATTAATTCTACTGCATTTTAATGCTTTAATTCCATGCATAATTTTACTATATCAGTCAGCCAAACCTGCTCAAGTTTTACTTGTCATGATAGCTTTTAACCTTTTTCATTACCATAATTCTATGTTTTATATTGCAGACTGGTCAGCTTTTAACTTAAATGCAGGAGACAAAAAACAGTGCAATAGTTTTAAAAGCTGTAAATCTCAAGGGCTAAGGGAGAAAAAAAAACAGGAGGAAAACTATGAATGTGTCAAGTCTGGCTGTAAAATCAGATCAACGACACTGGGTCCAATTTGTCTGTCCAAAGGAACTCTCCTACCCAGATTCCCTACCAGCTCTGAGCCACTAACAAACCCCTCCAGTGAAGTAAACTGCCAGAATGTCATATCAACTTTATGTGACAAAGTCTGGAACTGAGTAGTGTCTAAGAAAGAGCTGCTGAAAGGGGTCTGTGTATTATCATTCAAGCATTTTCCGGATCAAATTAATCTAGAAATTCTGTAATGATTTCTGTTATCTCTATGAAACTATTTAATTTTGAAAAAAAAAATAACAGTATAAAGTATAATGCTAGTCTGAACTGGCGATGCCTTCTAAAATATGGAACAAAAAGTGTCATTCTATATCCAGACTATTATCCCTTGATTTGAAAATTCAAACATGTCCAACTAAAGTTTCCGTCATAGCCACCACTAACTCATGCCTCACAAAAGGAAGGAAGTTGCCTCAACTCTGACCTATTTATTGACTCTTCCTTTTATAATTTCTATTATCCCTTCAAGGATTCTAAATAGAAGCAAAAGTTCACTGGTGATCTATGTTCATAAACTGAAGGAACTTTCCATAGTGCCTCAGATTCAAGGTTACTCAAACTTTTTATAGTGAGGGTCCATATATAATCTTTTGCAATTACTCATGAGAAGTAGAAGGGATGGTGCTAATTAAGAGAGGCAGTATAGTCCAGTAGAAAGAGGGCTTGATTTGGAATCAACCACAACAGCAACAACTGCCTTCCAGAGATCAGAATTGTTAAAAATCTCGTGGGTTGGAATGGTAAAGTATCAGTGAGGGTTTATAAAAAATGTTTTTCTATTCTTTGGTCTAAGCAGGCTTTTAAAATTCAGAGAATATCAAAGTCAGAGGAGAGGCATAAAATAAAGCTGAATAAAAGTACAGTATAAGCATATTAATTGAAAATGTAAAAGTATTGTGATTATTTGCACCAAGAATACAAAGGCTGAGGAAAATAATTATAGAACTATGTATCTGTTGGTTAGCAGTTATCAATATTTAGGTTATGGCATGAAGAAAACAGCTTAAAATGAAGTAAAAAGGATGAAATACTTATTAAAGGAAGTGAATCCAGGTATCAAAAATGTGGTTGTTTGTTTTAAATAAAAGTAGGTATCTAGAGCAGTCCAACAGAAGAAAACAAAAATTAGCAAGCCTGAGAGAAGATGCACAACCATTTTCACTATTGAATTTTTGGTATGGAAAATTTCCCCAGAAAGAACACATCTTGATTTAAATAAGTAGCTACCAAATTTTCTACTTCCCCAAAAGGCCATTTCTTATTGATCTTTTACATTTCTTAGGAGACATCTGAACCATCTTGTATCAAACTATCAAACTATTACTGCAAAGAACATTCATTCATCAGATCCTTTTCCCCAGAGTCAGAAAATAATACGCCTAAAATTTTCTCTCTGTTAACCTTATATTTTCTCTCTCTCCCTCTCTCTCTCTCTCTCTCTCTCTCTCTCTCTCTCTCTCTCTCTCTCTCTTCTCTCTCTCTCTCTCTCTCTCTGTCTCCCCTCTGTTCCCCCCATGAATAAGTTGTTTTTAATGACAAAAAAGCAGCAAGTCCACACTGCAAAGAATCTAGAAAATCAGAATTATTTGCACAATCCTAACAAACTGATCGCTTTGAAGTGCAAAAAGAAAAAGAAAAGAAAAGAAGAAAAAAAGAAAAAGAATAAACAGAAATCAGTTGAGAGTGGGATTTGGCCCCACCTGAAAGTTCAGTGGTGATCTGTGCACTTTGACCAGCTCCCGAGAGAGAACTTTGTTATCTCTTGTACCCCAGGAGAGGAAAAAGGAAAAGGATGCAAAAAATATCCTTTAAAGCCCATGGAGAGGAAGGCCAGACTGATCACTAGTGCAGGTATATTTCTAAGTTACAAACAGGAAATATCTATAATAATAAATGCATGCCTAAATGACAAAACTTGAAGCGAAAAGGCATATCTTGAAATACATAATTCTACATGGAGAAGCAAATTTGGGTGGAAAATCATGTCCTATCATGTAAAGGAAATGGAACCTCACAATGATATCTGAAACATAAGAACATTTCAGTGTATGTATATATATTATATATATTATATATATATGATAGAAATCTACTCATTTATCACCAATAGTGTTCTGATGAAATTTTACACACTTAGAGATATCTGACCAACATCTTCACAGCACAGGATAGAGAGGTCTGTTACAAAGACCATTAGTGTTGCCAGTGTCTAGGTTTCTCAGCTGTGTGTGATTCAAACATGTCTACAGACTTTCTGAGATGTCTGTGGGTAATATTGTTCAGTTAGATATGCAGTAAAAAATTGAAACGTGGGAGGTGGAAACGGAGGGAACTGCCAAGAAAATGAGATAAAGTTTATGTTGTCCCTATAAGTGAAAAAAGGATACTATTCACCATATGAACAGTACCAGTAAAACTTATATTAAAACTAGCTAATGACATGGGTTATTTCCCTCCCATCATTCATGAGTGAGCCCCAGCTAGGCCCAGCAGTAAAACAAAAACAGTGAAACAATAATAATACCATTAGGATGTATATAGATTTCTAGGAGCCCCAAGAGCAAGCTTGCCAAGGCTATGAAAGTCATCAAAAAGTTTTAGGAAAATATAACCCTACAGATTGAAATGCTCTCCTCTTTACCAAGACCCCACCTATGCCAGAGTCAAAAAAGGCAAGATTCCATAGAGGACAAAGGTCAAGTTTTTGTAAACACGTTGTTTTCACAGAGGTCTAATCGCTAAAGTAAATAGAATAAGGGAAGCAGTGAAAAAAAAAGTACAAATGTAAATTAGGTCTCCATGGTTTCTTTTTACACTGTCATTGAAAAGTTTTACTGACTGAGAGAACCGTTTTCTTCTATGGAAAATTATATTTGTTTTAGAAAAGTCTACTGATTATTCCTTTCCTTTTGTATTAAACAGTATCAAAAGTAAATACATTGTTTTATATACCCCCTTCATCCTTAATACCAACATCCCCACCCCCCACCTCCCCTCCCCAACCAAATATGCTGTGTCCTCTTAAATATAACAAAATGACCATTAAAATAAAATGCAAAGAGGCTGCCTGAGCACTTACTTTCTGGCAGAGAAGCCAGAGTCAGCGGTTTACTTTGTTATCACCACCTGGGTTGTCAAGCAAAGCACATCTCACACCCAACAAATTTGTAAAACCATATTTCAGCTACAAACTACATGCAAACATACATCTTTCGTGTCACTTTTGGCATTATTTAGACATTTAAGACTTACGTCCCCAAACGTTCCTCGTGCTTTTTGTAATCCTTTCCCCACACCTCTATGTCCAATATGCCCATCCTGTCAGAGAAGTAGTGAAAATCAAACTGTTCCCTCCACTGAGGATTTGCACTCTTACACAGTGTCTAGAAAACATGCAGTTATAGTATTTATTTTCTTAAAACTTTATTTATCTCTATAGTATTCATACATCAATTTTATCAATTAAATATACACTCTATGAGAGCAAATGGCAATGTTTGTTACATGCAAAAATTTTTGATAAAATTAAAAATAACACATTAAAGAGTATTAAAGGATTTCTCTAATAAAAAAAAACCGTCGACTTAGATGCTTTCTGGGGCTATTAATGGAACTAATTATTTTCAAAAGGAGAAAGAATATTATTCATTATCATATGTATATTATATATAAATACATTGTGATTGTTGTTAACAACACATAGCTAATGCCAATACACTTTTATACAGACTATGGAATAAGAATGTTAGAACATAGAATAGATAAATTTAACAAATTAGGGATGATATTATTGTTCTGATAATCAGACATTAAAATATTATGATTCATTGCCATGGTCTATCAGTAAGCACTCTAAACAGAGTACAGTTATTTTTTTTAAAAAATGCAAAGAAAACAGTCTTCTGAAAAGATTTTGCAGCTATCTAGCATCTGCTAGACACATTAAAGCATGTGAAAATATTGTCTGTCACCGGAAACCCAGGATATATACATGGTCAGTGATTTTTCAATTGAAGTTACTGAATAGTTAACAGGATAGCCAGAGATCAGAATGGGAAGAAAATTCTTACAATCTGCTGCCACAGGGCATGTTGTAACAGGTCAGTTGCCAGTTTCTGGACAGTAAGAGGCTAAACTAAGGCCTGATTGTGAGCTCTAGCATTTTAAAAATAAAGGAAATCTGACAAGTAATAAAGACAGCTTAAAAACTACTTTTAAATCAGTAAGCATTTATGTTCAATCCCCTATTTTAATTAAGCTATGTATATACATTTTGATTCATTAGAAGCATTTTCATTTTATGCATTTAGACTACGAATTGAGCTTGTAAGAGTGATAAAGGGAAACACTAGCCATCAGCTTATACAGAGCTCAGCAGACCAGCAGTAGGACCCAGTATTTCACTCTCAAACTATATTGTGTATTATCCTTGAAGAGCTAAACACTCAGCAACTCTGAGCCTCAGCTGCAGCCAACATCACTTAAAATAATTTCAGTCGTTTTTTCACATTAGAGTTGATACATCAAATCACAAAATTTCAGAAATAGAAAAAACTACTAAACCACAAATTAAGTGCTGAATTCCCCAGAGGGAGAAAGCACAAGATATTTAACTAATACTACACTTCACCTTAGTCAAAAGGGCTAAATGAGGTTAGTGATGAATCATTTTCCTATAAATTCTTTCCATGACCCACTTGGGACTTGACTCAATGAATCTTAATCCAGAGGATAGACTAAATTTGGTTGCACTAGCTGGATTTGTCAGAATCTATACTTGCAAATGAAAGTGGGGAAAGGAGGAAATTATGTGAATAATTGCATTATTTAAATATTTTAGTAAACACCTTTACTCAACTATTTGGCTCTTTCTAGCAAAGGAAGGAATGATTTTTCTAAACTCCATGGCTTCAATTCTATACCATATTTTGTAGATGTGGAAATTATTAAATAGTTGGTATTGTTCTAAAAATGACACAGTAGGGGAAATACTATTGCTACAGGTCCATAAATGCTTCCCTGAATCTATTTGGAATTTACATGTTTACATTCTACAACTTTTATATGATATATAATACATGGAATAGATTAATTATTCAAAATAATGCCAATGACATATGTATATATATATATAAGTTTTTATATTTTTATGATAAAAATAAAATGAGTATTTGATGGTAAATATAAGTTGAGAAATTTAGCAAGGAAGCTAAAATGCATTTCTTTTTAACTTCTCCAAAAATATTTGAGTCAATCAAGAGTAAAATAGCAATGAACAGTAGTATAGTTGGGAAAAAATAGATCACTAACTATTTTTGATTCCCATGCAGACAAGGCAAAGAGATCAAAGAATACAGATTTTTAACAAAAAATATATATGGCGTGATATGTAATCATTTCAATAAAAATGCAATGTACTATGTTAGTGACTCTTTTTTTCCTCTACACCCATGAAAATACTTTGGAATCTTTCTGGAGGTTATGATGATGAGACTTGTCATTAAAAAATAAACTGAAGACTTACAGGAAAAAAAGTACCAGAATCTCCATGTAATAGAATGAATATATGTATTTACATAGACACACATAATATCACTGGCTTTATTTCAAAATAATTAATCTATAAAATAACATTATTTGTTGTGACTATTTCATAAAATGAACAAGCCTTCACATTTCTTGAATGATATGGAAAAATATATTTTGAAATGTATGTAGTCACTACAGTTATTTTTAAACATACAAAAGCAATTGTTTTTATTATAGCAGAACCTGAGAGAAAGGTAAGGATTGGGCAAGAAAAGAAGCAGAGGGTCACCCTAATACCCTTAAAGGTACTTATTTTCAAATAAAATTGATGAGACTTACCTTACTTTTATATTTCTGATCTCCTAGTTTTAATTGGACAAATATCTCTGCTAGGCTTCCTCCAGAGATATTCTTCCCCTCCAATAAAGTAATACTAATAATCCCATTCCAGAGTTGGTTTTTCTTCATGGATTCTGAAAGTCTCAGGTTGCGTATCAAGGAAGACTAAAAAGAAAAGAAAAATATATGAATTAGCTACCAAAATCTCTCGATAATCCTATAGATCTGATTTCAGAATTTGACTTTGAAACTTTGTAGCCTCATTTAAAGATATTAATAGCAAGCAACAAAATTTTAAGATAGCATTTTCTATAATGAATTCTAACGGTGAGAGACATTGTGTCATAGTGGTAAAAGAGCTGACCCTAAAGCCAGGAAGATGTGGGTTCAGGCCAACTGGTGAGCTGGTAAATGTTTAACTACTGGCACACCAGAAAAAAAAGTACATATGATATACTTTTACGTTTAATTTGCCTTATTAATATTTTATCCATCATGTTCTTAAGTCTATGTGTATATATGTAGACAATCAACAAAACAAATACATTAAGCTTGATTTGTAGTATTTGCTGATTTCTGAGATGTAAATGCTCTCGCTGAAAATTTAACAATCAGCTCTTAAGAGTAGTAGGAGCTGGCACCAACCAGCACACTCCTGGCTCAAGGCTACCTCTGACTAACAGTGTCACCTATGACTAGTCATTGAATCTTTAAATCCTTTAGGCAACTTTCTAAGACTATGAGTTGCAGAGAATATGGCCTCACTATTATGCATTAGGGGATAGAGTTCTCTTACTTGGGAGTTCCCTGTGTCAATTAACTCATAGGTGGAATCTCCATCCTTAGCCATATTTTAATTTGTGACCAGAGTCAAGCACAGGTTTACCTGGTTTTGAACTGGGACTGATCACTTATCACAGCAGCTAACCCTTGCCTTTAACCATTTTAGTACTAAGAAGAGAGGGAAGGAATGATTATGAAGAGTGGAATAAATATTAAGCATAGTTTATCAAAAAAAAATTCAGGTAATTTGAGTTAATGACTTTGAATTTTGCTTTCACATTTGAATTTGTCACTTTAACTTAAGTTCCTTATGCTGCCACTGAAATGATCACCTTTTAAGAATGCATTCTCAATAGCAGCTAGAGCTAACAATGCCCAAATCAATAAATGATGGCATTTTTGGGGGGGAGACAAAGTCTCTCTTCTCTCACCCAAGCTAGAAATCTAGCATCCATCCTTAGTCTGGTGGTCTCTTGATCCTCAGAGGCTCACTCACCAGAATGGTACCAGACTTGTTTTATCTATATCTATCTATCTATCTATCTATCTATCTATCTATCTATCTATCTATCTATCTATCTATCTATCTGTCAGATTGACTAGCACTACCACAGCTCAGAACCCTCAAACTCAAGTAGTCCACTAGTATAGCAAGGAATATAGGCATATGCCACCTAGCAGTGGCCTTCTTAGTGTCAGACAAATACCACAACATGAAAGAGGTGGCAATAAATGCTAAGGATAACTAAGATGCACACAAATGTCTGTCTAAATGTCTGTATTATTAGGTTACATGGAGACATCTGAATGATATTCATTTCAAAATTCAAAAAATAAAACCCCAGATTCTTTAGAAAATTTAGATCTTTTTTTAAAATTTTTTTTTGAACAGGAGGGGAGAAAGGCAGAAAAAATTTAAATGGCACCAAGGATCCAAGTTAGTGGATGAATTCTTAACTTAGCTTGTTCATTCTTGTCATCTGTGCAATATATCTTCTGGAATCATTTAAACAAAGATTCACTCACACACGTTAGTCACAATTTACCAGAACAAATGGTATGTCAGCACCATATTAATTATCTACTGGCTTACCTCATCCAATACAAATCACTATCCCATCCTTAATTAGATGAAGCAACAATGCAAACAGAGGATGTTTGGTCTATTCTTTTATGACAACCTTAAAAATGAAACACTATAGAAAAATTGCATGAATCTCTCTTTCTTTCCCTCAGTATACTCAAAGGCTATAGTTTGAAGGCTGTTGAAAAGAAAGACAAATACATCTGCTATAAGAAAAGGAGTAATTCCTTTAAAGGCTGAAATTTAGAATTAGATTGTGACACATTCAGTAATAAAGGTTTATAAGACACATAAACACAAATGTCTTTACACTTCCTACCACTTACTTATTAAGGCAAATGCAAGCCTATGTATTCTACATACATGTTAATATACTTCCCTTTAAATCATTATTTGGCTTATTAGAGACACAGGCTGAAACCTCCTACCTTTAAAAAGAAAATGAGATTTTGATTCATAAATCCAGTTGCATTTTTTTTTTAAAGTTTGACTCGCAGGCCAAAAAGCTAAAGCATGACTGTTCCCATGGACATACTTCAAAGTCCCGGCAGATATATTCCTCCCTAAACACTGCAACTATTTCAAAATCCTTTTTATAAAAAAGGGAGTAATGTCCACAAGGGATCAAAGGGCATCCTACAGTCTGGCAATTGCCTAAGAAAAATGGCAGTACTTCCATGAAATATGCCCTAAAATAATTTTGCGGCTTGGTATGTCCTAATTTCAAATTGGATGTTTATCTTGGAAAGGCTTCTATCTAACTTGTCCATAAAACAGCTCCACTTAGCTCTATGAGCCCTGTGAAAATGGAATCCAAAGCTGGTTATTAAAGGGGCCTAGAGATTGCTTCCATATGGCAGAACAGCATGGGAGTGGAGGGCTAAGGCCTACAGCAGGCGCTGCTTGGCTTGAGCTCCCGATCTATCCATGGACACTCGTTGCATTACACCATAACATCTGGATTATTGCTTGTAATGTCCCTGGGAAATATCCACTTCCCATCAAAGCCTTTATCTATCTCAGTCGTACTTTGAACATTTTAGTATTTAACACAGTTATGTTTGATGTGATGTACTTGCTGCATCCAGTCCATTTTTTTTCTTTTCCTTTTTTCTTTTCTTTTTCTTTTTTTCCCAAAGACAGGGTGGGAGAGGACATATTTATTGCATGGTTCATAAAGTGAAAAGAGAATTGCATTTTTTTCCACGCAGCTATTTTTTTCCTCCAAAATATCTATGAAAAACTATCAAATAGTTCTCTTCAAAATAAAGTTTCACTTTGTAAGCCCTCTATACTGTTGGGGTATGTATGTATACATATAGAATTCTTAATGATTTCCACATTTATTTTGTACAGCTGAGGACTGGAGGGTTGTATCTATCTTTTAAGGGTAATAAGTCTTTCTTTGAGGTTGGCCGAGGTCTGAACCATTGTGTGTGCTGCTCTGCCCATCTATGATCTCAGAGTGCTATAGTGCTAACCTCTAGCACTCCCTTTTTCCCAGTAATAAATCATCTCATCTCCTCTAATTCACTTGGCTGTACAACTAAGATTCCTGAGTCTTTGCCTGAGCCTGTGTGTAGAATTAGCCATCCTAACAGAGTTGGAATGTGAAGAAAGAAAGGGAAGTGAACTATCAAAAGGGAAGTCCGTTCCACCTGAACTTTGTCAAACGTTCAGTTCTGTCCTAATTTCCTAGGTCACCTCACAAAAGTACTTCAGTTCATATGGATTCATTTTTTCCTCCCCAACAACTTATCAAAATCATACACTAATCTATTTTATCTGTCTCTCCCCCAACCCCTTTATATTACACTGTACTTATTTTACTACCTTCAACTTGAACCGTGGAACTTTACATAAATGGAAAAATCAGGCAGCATTGTAAGAACTATCCTCACATAGGAAAATAACCTGCCCCTGAAAAATATATAAAATAAAGATGAACATACGTTGAGTTGGTTTTTACTCTAACTCTTTATTTTTAGAACAATTTGATACAGTGCTTTGTCTTTCCTAGTATAAACCTCATAAAACAGCTAATCTGCTTTTCTAATCTATTTGTAATGCAAATGGAAATGGATATATACACTGCTCTCAAGAAGGTACAGACATACTTCAGTATTTATGAGTAAAGAGACTAACATGGCAGAGTGGGTAGCAAGTTATGGACTAGTACTGAGGAAATCTAAGCTATAGCTCCACATTTGCTCCTAAGCAATTGTGACATTGGATAAGATTTTCTTATCTATGAGTATGAGTTAATCTCTAAAATTCCTTACAATTCTAAAATTTCCTTATTCTGTAATAAAGTATAAGAGAATCTTATTAAAGATGCTCATGTTGAAATAAATCATATTTTAAAACTTTGAAGAAAAAAATAACCTTGAAGGGATTATTGCCATTGCTAATGTATAAAATGGAATGAGGCTGAAATTACAGCATGGAGCATTAGTCATTGGTGTTACCAAAGGGTTGCAGAAGGAGAGAATATAAGAGAGGCAGTGAAATATAATGGAAACACATGCCAAAATTAGTAAAATCCCCTCTTTCTCTGAGGCAAGTCATGATCTCTCTAAGTCTTAGGTTCCTCAATTATAAAGTGGAAATAATAATTTCTTCTTTCTTTTCCTCACAGGGAATTGTAAGATAAAATGAATATAAATATAAATAGTAAAATGCCACATTAACATAAATTTATAATGATAATTATCATCATAATCATTTCTCCATTGAAATCTTCTAATATCTCACGGCATGGAGGTGGATTCTCAACATCTATGTCATGTGTTGGGTGCTAGCAAGTTGGATAAATTTCATATATATTGACAAATGACATATCTATTATCCAAAGGCTGGACTAGCTAAGTTCGTAAAGTTCATATATCATGTACTAAGTTAAAGCGGGTTTGTGAAGTGTACTGGTAGAAGGAGTACCCTTGGCAAAGAAATTGGAAGCCTTTGAAGTATAAATGCTATCACTATTAATTCGATCAAAGAGCTAGATAGTGCTAGAACCTAAGTTTCTTTGTCTGATATTTTCCCATAACCTAGATGATATCAAACTGGACCATGAAACATTCTAACATAGTAACAAAAATGATAATACTATCCAAATTGATTCACACATTTAATGTAATACCAGTTAAACTACCAAGGGGACATTTTACAGAGCTCAATAACACAACAAAATTCATTAGGAGGAATAAAGATTTAAAATATGAATGGAAACAATGAAAAACAATAATGAAGGAAGAATAGCACTTACAGATATCAAATCATGTTATAAAGCAGACTT